ATATGTATTATATATATATATATATATATATATATATATATATATATATATATGTATAGTAGACAGAAAATGTTCCATTAGTTTCAGGTGTACAACATAGTGTTTTAACAAGTTTATACAAAATGCTATGCTGATCACCAGTGTAGCTACCATTTGTCACCATACAATGCTCTTACAGTATTCTTGACTATATTCCCTATGCCATACATTTTATTCCCATGATTTATTCATTCCCTAACTGGAAGCCTGTATCTCCTACTCCTTTTTACGCATCTTGCCCATCTCCCCACACTTACTGCCTTCCCTGGCAACCATCAATTTGTTCTCTATACATATGGGCCTTTTTATGCTTTTTGCTCATTCATTTGTGTTTTAGAGTCCATGTATAGTGCAATCATATAGCATTTGTCTTTCTGTCTTCTTTCCCTTAGCATAATACCCTTCTAGGTCTATCCATGTTGTCACAAAGAACAAGATTCATTTATTTTCATTTTCATGGCTGAGTTATATTGCTCATATGTGTGTGTCTATGTATACATACACACACATATATACATACATACATACACACATACACACACACACACATATATATACATACCCCACATCTTTATTCATCTGTCAGTGGACACCTGGATTGCTTCCATAGTGTGGCTATTGTTGCAGTAAACATAGGGGTGCATACATATCTTCAAATTAGTGATTTTGTTTTCTTTGGGTAAATACCAAGTAGTGGAATTACTGGATCACATGGTATTTCTATTTTTAATTTTCTGAGAAAACTCTGTATGGCTTTCCAGAGTGGCTGCACCAGTGTACATTCCCCCAACAGTGCACAGAGTTTCCTTTTACTACATATCCTTGCTAACACTTGTTATTTTGTGTCCTTTTGATACTAGCTATTTGGACAGGTGTAAGGTAAGTCTCCTTTTGGTTTTGATTTGCATTTCCCTGATAGATGAATGATGTTGAGCATCTTTTTATGTGTCTACTGACCATCTGTATGTCTTCTTTGGAAAAGTGTCTGTTCATGTCCTCTGCCCATTTGTTGTTTGTTTTTGGTATTGAGTTATATAAGTTCTTTAGATATTTTAAATATTAACCCCTTACTGGATATATCATATACAAATACCTTTTCCCATTCAGTAGGTTGCCTTTTCATTTGATTGATGGTTTATCAACCAGTGGTTTTCCACGGTGCAAAAGCTTTCTATTATGGGGTAGTCCCAGTAGTTTATTTTTGCTTTTGGTCCCTTGCCTGAGGAGACATATCCTGAAAAATGGTGCTACAGCCAATATCAGAGAAATTATTGACTGTGCTCTCTTCTAGGAGTTTTATGGTTTCAGGTACCACATTTAGATCTTTAATCCATTTTGAGGTTATTATTGTGCATGGTATAAAAAAAGTGGCTCAGATTCATTCATTGGCACGTAGCTGTCTAGTTTCCCAGCACCATTTATTGGAGAGAATGGCTTTTCCCCATTATATATTCTTCCTTCTTTTGTCACATATTAATTGACTTTATAATTGAGGTCCCCTCTTCTGATTCATTTATTTGTATGTCTTTTTTTCTGCCAGTACCATACTGTTTTGTTTATGATAGCTCTGTACTATATCATGAAAATTGGAATTGTGATATTCTCAGCTTTGTTCTTTCTCAAGAGTGCTTTGGCTCTGCAGTGTCTTTTGTGGTTTCCTACAGATTTTAGTATTATCTGTTGTAGTTCGGTGAAAATGTGATTGGCATTTTGATAGGGATTGTATTCAATCTATCAATTGCTTTGGGTAGTAAGGACATTTTAACAATATTAATACTTCCAGTCCATGAACATGGATCCATGACTCATGTTCATGTGTTCAGCTCTTGCCATTGTAGTAGTATATAACCACCCACATGAAACTATGGTACGATGATAAGCTTCGTTCATGTATCTGAGTTTGGTGGCAACAACTCTGCTTCTGGCTGTTGAGGGCCAGTTGGCTGTGGAGGATTTGCACTTTGTATCTCATTTTGGGATCCAGACTAATGGAGCTCTGAATATTGGGTCATAGATTTCTAAGGCAAGAATCACAGGCTGATAAAGGACATGCAGAATCTCTCAAAAATCTCATTAGGCCTAGTTTCTAAACAGGCCCACTCTATGTCTACTCATATCCTCAGAGCCATTACTTGGCCAAATATCAGCGGGTCAGGAAGTGGTTCTCCAATAATAGGTAGCAGTGAGGGAATGATTTACTGAGAATAATCTGATCTATCTCAATAATGATTTTTCTACATCAATTTTTCTTGTTCTGCAGTGTATCTTTTTTAAAAACATTTTCAGTTATGTAACTATCCTCTTGTCTCAAATTTCTTAAATTTCAACCCTCCCTACTTTCAGGATTTAAAGCTGAGTAGTCTGTCCTCTACAGTATCTTGATTGTTATCTGAGTTTCTTCAGTCACTTTAAGGTCAGAACATATTTTAAAAATGTACACTTATGGTTTTTCTTTATCAATTTGTTGATGTTGCCTAAATTTATCCTTTTTACCTTATTCATCTCTTTATTCATTTAATACATATGTTTTAAGTTCTCACTATGTGCCAAGCATCCTTATGGATAAAATAGTAACAGATAAATTAGGTCATGTAGAAAGAGAGAGGAGGAAGCAGGTTCCCTGCCGAAGAGAGAGCCCGACGTGGGGCTCGATCCTAGGACACTGGGACCATGACCTGAGCCAAAGGCAGAGGCTTAACCCACTGAACCACCCAGGTGCCCCTTCTCTGTGCTCTGTCAGTGTGGTATTGAAGAACTGATTCTTCATTGACTGTAGTAACAGAAATGCTGGTACCCAGATACAGTGTCATTGGTGCTAAATAGTGTGTTTTGGCATAGTTCCTACTTTCTGGCCCTCCCTGACAATCTGTGAACAACCTAACATATTTTACTAAACTACCCAGAATGGATTTTGTTATATTTGTATTCTCAATTGATAATGCTCCAAAATACTTTCCCAATTTACTTCAAAAATAAACCAATAAAAGAATTATATATGTATATAAACTAATCCTTTTTATTCCCACTTCATACCCTTTTTTATAATTCCAAAATGATAACATTAGAGAGATAATAAAAATTGATTTAAGTATAGCAAAAAGTCAATTTTAAATTTAATTCCAGAGGCATAATATTAAAAATTACTTTTTCACTTTTACCAGCACCTGAAATTCATGCCAACACTATTTCAAGAAATATTTCACCCTACAGGGTCTTACTTTTTATCTGTTTAAATTACGACCTTATATCAAATAAAAATTACATTTATTACAAATCTGTTTACACATTTTTGTTTGCATGCACTTCTGTTTTCTTCAGATTTTAAGGGAACATTTTGTTACAATTTTGTACAAATTACTTGCTTTGTTCATATTCTTTTCTTTGAATAAAAACAAGATTTCTGGCCACAAAACTTATTAATACAGAAAGAGCCCTCCAAGCACTATGCCAGGAAGACTTTATCGTGGCTGTGTGAAAAGAGTATTCTCAGGAATCTTCCTGTGTAAACTACTCTTATAAATTAGAGTCTACTTTGGAAGTTACCGAATGTGATAAAGTGATCTCAAATTTTAGGTCTGCTGTTAGCGGAGAAAACTAGAAAGAATAAAATAACATTTTATGTTTTTGCAATTAATAATTAAAATAATGTCAAAACTCTGGGAAAAAAATACCAAAGTTTAACTGTCTACATTTCTTTTCTTTCTTTCTGTACCTTCCCACATTCTATTTTTTTATTTTTTCAGTATTTACTATATATGCATAATAAGGAATTGTAGGTATCATTTAATCAATAGTGTCATGAAAAATACTGAAAAACAACCCTGTGTCACTGTCTTTCCCTACAAAAAATAAAATACTAATATCTGTTTCTTTATTTTGTGGAATTTGAGGTTTCCTTATCCAGTAAACTGTTCCCATGTGGCAAGCTATGAGAACTTGAAAAGGAAACGGATCTCTCTAGATTTCAGAAAATAAAGACACTATTGTTTTTTGATGTTCCCCAGAGCATAGAATCTACGCTTTTGGGGACTAGAATCACTGCAGTGGTTTGTGAGATACTCCCAATCCAACACTAGCAGAGTTTCAGGGTTTTGAAAGCATTCAAGAGGCTTGGAAAACCAAATAGCAAACAAAGCCTCTACACGTTGTCAGAATATATAGAAGTCCTGTCTCAGGAAACTAAAAAATATTTGACATTTTCATGTATTAAATTTTGGGGAGCATTTGTCATGAACACTTTCTATAATTGTGTAGTGCCAAGGTATTTGATATACTTATCTGCTAGAGGGAAATAATTGTCCTAAATGTCTGCTCATAAACCATTAGTGTATTCCAATCATCTAATAGGCATTTAATCTGCTCTAGCCAATGTGTGGTGCTGTAGTGATTCAGGGTGATGAAACAGACATACTCCAGGCCTTAATGATGCTTCTATTCCCGTACAATAACAAAGAGAAAAATAAATCAGTTTTAGATAGGGTATTTCACTTGATAACGTGGTAACCTATTAATTGAGTGGGAAGTGACCTTAGACGTTTGGCCGGAGAAAGTCTAATGATTTAGGAAGTATATTTAAGCTGAGTCTGGAATTACTAGATGAGATCAATTATAAAAATATCTAGAAAGAATGTTCCCAGAAAAAAGTAAAGCCCCTGTGGAAGAGACATGTTTGTTGATTTCAGATGTAAAGTCAGTATGGTCGACTTATTAAGAGGTATTATGGTATAAAATAATAGTACATTTTGTATGTAAATTTTATGTATTTGAAATTCATACACACACACACACACACACACACACACACACACCTATATATATCAATAGTAAGTTGTTTTTGTTTTTTTTTTTTTTAAATCACAGTATTTTTTTTCCTTGAGAAGCTGAGTACAGGCTCAGTCATTCTTAACCAACTGAGCCACCCAGGTGCCCTCAGTCATTCTTGCAACAGCTGAGTGGGCATGGAAAGGATATCTAGCCCAAAGCCATCCAACCATAGGTGAGTCCAGAGCTTAATAATAGTACCGGTATATGAGTTCTTCAAACCAATCAGGTCTGTCTTGAAGAGTTTTGCATAAAACATGCAGAAATAGAATACAGGCAGTGGCAAGATCCAAAGCTGAACAATACAGAGGATGAAGGAGAAGCACTAGAATAGCAAATAATGTACAGCTGTTGCTATGAGAGCAATAAAGGAACCATGGCCACATGGCTGTACTGTATCCTGAATGATTGTATAGTTCCTGAAGAGAACTGCAGTCTCTATGAGCTCTGACTGAGCACCTGCTAAGACTGCACTATTTAATGAATTCCTCATGTGTTCTTGTAATACTGTACCATTTGTTTAGTGTATCTGCATATATTCTTTATGTTCTGACAGAGCTTTAATAACACATGTGCTATTTCATGTCATTAAAAACCATTTGATGAGATAATGTTAAAAGGTTAAGTAGTAAATCTGTAGGTTAAACAGTAAAATCTGAAGGTTATACGTTTAGTAAGTAGAAGATATGGGATTAGAATTGAACCATATCTGACACTAATATTCTAGAATGAGCAGACACTTGGCCAAGTCTTGATATAACAATGATTCACACATGCGTCTAGTATTCTCAGCTTTAATGAAGGTTAGAAATGGATACAAGTTAATGAGAAGACAAGCCACAGGCTGGGAGAAAATATTTGCAAAAGATATACTGACAAAAGACAATTATCCCAAATCACAAAGAATGCTATAAAATGAAGAGTGAAAAAAATGAATAAACCAATTAATAAGTAAATAAAAGACCTGAACAGATATGTCATTAAAGAAGATCTATAGATGAGAAATAAGCTCATGAAAAAATACTCATCTAGCCAACATATAATACATCATTAATTTT